GTCCAACAATTCTTGCAACTAGACCGTGAGTTCTTGTAACACTGTAGGTGTCATCCTATGCGGTGTCATAGAAATAGGGGATGAATCGAGTTGTAACTCAAAAGTGAAGTCTACAGCCCGATGTGGAGGCAATTCTGATAACTTATCTGGAAAAACATCCACATACTCACAAACTACCCGTGGTAGACACAACTCCTATCTTATCTCATCTTCAAGTGTAAGACTCGCAAGCCAACCCATTAACTATCTATGTCAACAGGAATCATATATGACTTGGGATAAAATATCATGTTTTTCTTCCTAAAATTTGAAACAAACACCCTTTGGTGTATAGACAGTGATGACCCTTTTTCAATCATAATCGATGACAACTTAGTGTGCCGCCAACCAATCCATCCCAAGGATAACGTCAAACTCCAACATGTCCATGGTCCTAAGGTCCATAGTGAGTATAATCCTCTAGATCTCTAACTTACATCCCTAACATATCTAATCAGTGTGAACCGTAGCTCCTAGGAGAGAACTCACATGCAATGGTTTTTCTAAGGTCTCAACCTCTAAGCCCAAATCATTTACACATGATGTAGCTATGAATGAATGAGATGCACCAGAATCAAATAACATCCTTCCCTATAAGTGAGTATAAATGTTCTCTGAATCACCGACTGATCCACTGGCTCAGTATAAGGTGTGATGGCGTAGACTTGCCTTTTGGGTCCCTAAAGTCCCTACCTGTAAGCCCTATCCTCGGCATGAGCCCAAACCCTGGCCCATTTGGCCTAATTACGGAGTCCTGCTTGTGAAGTAGTATGGTCCTATGTAGCACCCTGGAACTGGAATTGGCTTCCATAGCCCATGATAAGATAAGGTTGTGTGAAGAATGTCTGTAGATGCCCCATCGATGACTAGGACTAAGATGTCTTGTAGCTTTGAGATCCTTGCCTCTAGAAACAATCCCGCTTCAAGTGGCTTGACTGGTGACATATGAAGCAAGTTCTCTAACTAATCTAATAGGTGGCTCTGAAATTTCTCCCACCTTGGGAGAATTGATCTTGGCCTTGATAGCATCGGCCCTACCCTCGATACCCTTGTGGGGTGGATGTCTTTTGCCTCTTTCCTGAACTAGAAGAAGAGGTTGGCCCTCCTTCTTCCTGTCTTTAGCACCGGCCTCCCAGATGCTTATAGCGTCTTCCACTTCCATTTCAATGGCCATAGCCGTCTCGACCATAGAGTCTAGGTCTTGTAGGCGGTGACCCACAATATTACACTGGATGGACAACTTCAAGGGATCCTCAAACCTCCTTACTTTGGTCAAGTCAGTGGCCACGTGGGCATCGGTAAAATGGGCTAGCTCGATGAACTTCACCACGTATTCCATCAATGTCTTGTTCCCTTTCTTTAAATCCAAGAATTCTCAGGCTTTCAATTGCCGAACAGCTAATGAAAAATACTTGCTCATGAAGAGCTCATGAAACTCTTTCCATGTCATTGCCTCAAAATTCTTCGAGGCCTTTGCCCAATTCCACCATAGATGGGCCTCTACCTCAAGCTAGAAAATTTCTATCCTTATCTTAGTGGCGTTGGATGTAATCTTCATAGCCTCCAAGATCTCATTAACTTGTTGAAACTAATGTCATCCACCATCGGATCTATCCCCTCTCATGAATGTTGGTGGTTTGTGTGCCTTAAACCTCTAGAGGTTGTTCAAGCCTCCTTGGCCCATATTAGAACTGACTTGCAAAAAGGTGACAACCATTGTGCCCATATCCTCCATGAAGGCTTGCTGATCAAAAGCCGATGGGGGTGATTGGTTGTTTTGTCCACCCTCTCAGCCTTTCTGATGTCCTCTTCCTCTATTTGTCATCTACAATAAGGTAAGATAGCAATAGACTACTAACTTAGTACCCCAAGTTAGGGATAAAGTTAAAATGTTGGGAATTTAACTTACCCTCATCTCACTGGTATAAGGTATGCCACCCATTAGTAAACATTCAAATCGTAAACTTTTTCATTCTTTTTTTTTTTGACCCAAAGGATATGTTTTTTAACCCTAATGTCTCATTTTCATACACATTTAATCATGCATATAATCACATATCACATAGTACGTAACATTATTTAGTGCACATAGCATGTAATATAATGAATACAATGGCTTAACCAAATCTACCCTCAAGTCCAAGGTAATTGGGAACCTTAACTTTGATATCAAGCTGTGATGCCCCAAAATTCGTGAATATTTTCTCAACCTGTTGATCACTCATCAACCCGTGAAAGCAACTGTGAGTATCATATAACCCGATACCACGTCATTACACCTCATTCACCGGAATCATGACCAAAACAGAGTTTGGGTAGAATTTCCTTTATACCGGAGCACTACTCGACACATAACCTGTTCACATATTAATCACATGACTACAAACCCCAAAATATAAGCTTATTATTATCCATTTGCATCATCTATAAAAGTGCGCTCAAGATGTGAGGGCCCCTTAATGTTTCATTTTTAAAATTTGAAGTTTTAGAAAAGGTACCGGTACCACTGATACATGGTACTAGCACCTGAGCCTTTTATTTTCCAAGTACCGATACCTATGGAACTTGGTATCAGTATCTAGCTCCATTGTTTGCTAGGTACCAGTACCTATGTGTTCTTGTATCGGTACTTGAATCCACTGCCCATCAGGGTACCGGTACCTGAGCTACTGAAATTCAGGTACTGGTACCTATAAGCCTAGGTACCGGTACCTCAGTCATCCATCAACGTGGTACCGGTACCTATGAACCTAGATACCGGTACCTGAGCTCATATTTTCTCCAAATCTTTTCAATCTTAAACTCATCTCTTCCAAACTCGTACCATGTTCATCATTCATTCATTTACACCAAAATAATGTCCAAAAGAGTTCATTACCTACCCCTTTTTAACAACTTACAAGTTCAAAATAAATTACATGATTGATTTACAAAATGCAATTCTAAAGCCACATTCTAACTCCTTCGTCAACAATGGCCTAAATGAGGGTCATCCACCAGCATTTGTCTAACACCTGAAATATGTTCCCATAAAGGGTGAGTTACGCTCAATAGAGTATCTCCTAAGGAGACTACTCCCAAACCTAGATGCATATGAAATATCGTATGCAATTCATTACATAATCATTCATTCAAAAATGTACATTTCACAAATGAATGTCACAATTCCATGCCATGTCATGAGGTAAAATCCACACATGCAATGCAACCGAGCCCTCCACTGGCTCCCATAACACATGCAATGTCATACGTATACATCCAACATTTCAAACCCCCGCCATTGATATTGGACATCCAATGATCATTTTGTAAAATCTTGGGTCTTTTTTGGGTGAGTATTTATGGACTTCCACCAACGGGTACCCAACTGACACGATATCTATAGACTTCCACCAATGTCTCTACATATGCCAACACACTTTATAAGCTCAATACCAACGAGAATGTGTATTCGAAGTTACAAGGTATTGCACCCGAGGGAGAATTTAGCCCTTCTTACTAACCCTAACCCTTGATTTCAATGCAACCCGTGTGACTTAGTCAAACCCAAGTCCAACCTTCCTAAGCCCACGTATCAACCCACCAAGGATGGTGTTTGTTCAAAATCATGCACACACACCTACACTCGTGCCATTGCCTACAAATGTGATGTTACCCGTGCATATGCAAATGTAATGTACAATTGCAATTATAATATCATGTTCATCATATCATGAGCATATTATGAACACATTTAACCTCCATATACATTTTCAATTTCTCAATGTAAATTATATTATAAAGCATATAATTACATTCCAAAATCTCCACAAAGCATGTTATATATTTTTCATTCAAATAACACACTCAATCATTTATAGGCATTTTATCAAATACCTATAAGGCACAAAGATTATGCAAACACATAGCGTGTCCAAAACATCAAATTCTTCATGAAATCCACAACCAAATAATTTCACCAAAATCCAATCATGCAAGATTTGGTTTAACCATGTTCCACATACCTATTTCCATTTTCTAACACCCTAGGCATGTGTTATACATGAGACTTCAATCCAACACCCTACCCATTTCATATTTCAACCCAAGGTTGGAAATAAACCTAATTAGGAAAGGAACCCTAACCCTTATAGCGTATATTTGTGTTGAAGAAGCTCCAAAATACTCAAATCAAGCTTTGATCCCAAAAATCTCGCATTCAAGATTGTGGCGAAACCCGAAATCTTTGGTATGTACGTGTAGCTCTTGTTGCGTAGAATAACTTCAGTTCTTGGCTCAAAAAAATTTGACGATCGGATCGCTGTAGATTGGAGGTAGAAGTTGGAAGAATCCTTGGTTTTCTCCCTCTTCTTCCTCTCTCTCTTTTTTTTGGAATTTTCAGGTGTAAAGTGGGGAGAAAATTTGATTTTCTCCCCTATTTATACCCCAATACTTGGCTCTCATTAAGCCCCACATCCCGTCTTTTTCTGATCTGATTTTATTCTGAATCAATTAAATCTCTTCACGTTTTAAGTATAATACATTTTTATTGAACTCACGTTAAATTATTTCTTGGGTTCTGTGAATAAAATTTAATCATATTCATTTTAGTTGCATGATGAATGCAATTGTGGGCAACTAGATTTCGCGAAACGAATCCAACAGTGAGATCTGTTTCATCATCTGAGTTCTAAAAAAATTTGAGTTTTCAACTCGTACAATAACGGCTAATTACCATTTTGCTCTTTTTCATAAAATTTTAATTTTTCTGGGTTTTACAGTTGCACCATGTCGGCATCAAAGAGTAAGGTGTCGCTAACGTTTTATGGGACATCCAAGGAATCAAGGATTGAGTCAGAGATCAACACCACTTTGCCATTCCGCGTATCAGCCTAGGGACACCACTCCTGAGGGGGCTATGGGGCTGAGGTGGATTAGTTTGAGGCTGAATTGGAGGTTGAGTATGGGGAACAATCATCATGTCATGGCGTCCCTTTCACCCTTATCTCTTGCTCAAGGTCCTCCTGAGGATGGACTACCCCTTGATCCTGACCATTATGGATAGGTGGTGCTAGAGGAATCCTTGGCGAAGTGCGTTGAGGTTGTTGGCATGACGGCACCCTTAACGTACCTACTGCCGACTGAATAGATGAGCCGTCAGGGCCCAAATTCTTAGCAGCCATAGGCCGCTGAGAGGGATACACTATCAATGGGACAAGGCTATCTCAAGGGGTCAGGTTATTCGAGGGTTTGGAGGATGTGAAAGTTGGGTCAGGAATCCTAGTCAGATGAGCTTAGTTCGGGATCAAGCTCAATAACACCACGGGGCATCTCTGTTTCCTCTTTAGTGGCGTGATCGAGGTCTTGTTCCAATTCTCCTTGATGTCAACCCCCCACACTAATGGATTGAATTCCTCAGGGACTTGAGAAAACTTTCGATATCCAAGAACATACTTTAAGAGCATGTGTCCTATCCAGGCTAGTTTATCGAATCCCAAGAACCATCAAACATTCAGAATGGCATCAAAATACATGTCACATGAGGAGGCTGTGCAACTTTACTGTCCTCGATATCTGTAGGCGGTTAGAGGAATGAGCCATAGAATAAAACTGAAAAAGACAAGTAAAAACACAATCGACGACCTTGAGATAAGTTCAAATTATCTGCAGGCCTCCACTGTTTGGGACACCAAAGGTCATCGTACTCAAGCCCATCTCCTCTCTCCCAACGTCCCCTAACCATGATCGATTCCTACATGTACCCTTTATCAGAGTCGGGAAGATAAATCATGAGATACATGGAGGGATCTCGGGCTTGAGGTAGTATTTCTTGGAAGGAGCCTTCATGAAGGTATAATAGAAGAGGATTTCCTGCAAGCCGATGTTTATTTGAAGTCGAGCATTTAATGCTATGACTCCCATGACAATTCTAAAGGTATTAAGACAGTATTGACATAGAAAAAGCCAAAAATGCATAAGGAATCGAAGAAAAAGAGGATGAAAAGGAAACCTGATCCCCCTTCAGTGATAGCCTTGGTGTAGAAGGGCATCAGTTCGATCATAGTGACGCTGACAGGAATGAAGTACTTAGCCTTAAAGTTAGCTATCTGTTGGGACCCCTTCACCGGAGTCTTCCTTAGCCTAGACTCCCTGGGCCTATCAACATCCCTAGGTTTAGGGTCACCAGAACCTATGGTTTTATGAATCCTAGCCATGGGGGGCCTCTAAAGGTGATGGTAATGCAAAAGGAAGCTAAAGGCACAGGAAATGGATGAAAGAAGGAAGGCAAAAGGAAATGCAAGAAGAAAAGAGTAGAAAGAAAGACTTACAAGTTCATCGATCATGACTCGAGGCTTTTTGAAGGTCTCACGAAGACTCAAATGGCTAGTAAATGGAACCACAGAGAGAGAGATAATACCCTCATATGTAGGAAGGAAGGAAATAGTTATGCACGAAGCACGAAGAGGTGGCATTTAATGCAAGATTCAAATCGATGGTAGGAAAGTGGCATGGAGATTCCCAAAAAATGTCAAAAAAAGCCTTTCATTTTCGCACAACATGTGTCGCCTTTCATACGAAAATTAAAGGTGGGGGCAGTTAAGAGGACATGGTCTATGGGACCAATCGGTCAAGGACACATGGCACCTACTGCCTTATTCCATTAAATGAGTGATGATTGTACAAGAAATGGCGTCTCAAACGGGAGGGCATGCTCGGCCTCATAGAGAACCGCCGAATGCTTTAATGACTTACAAAAGTCTACCTATGATGAGCAGAGGGCAAAAAATGGGTCAGCACCCCTTGGGATATCGGTGGCGAGCACCTCTAGGGTGACTTGACGCTACTATCTCGGTGTAGCTCAGTCCCAAGTAAATGACATTAGGGAAACAATGATGACAAGAGTCGAGGAGATACTCTAGACTTACGATCATATATAAACTCACCCATCGAGATGACCTTGGGAGATTTGTCTACCTGGGAGTAATCAAAGGAATTTCTATTGAAGATTTGTACTCGAGGACTAGCAGGCGTGGACCCGTCTCCCTAGAAGGTCAAAAAGATCAGAAAAGTACACTAACCAATTATGAGAAATGTTCTTAAATGCTTAATAAAAGCTCAGCCCCGAGGATTCAATGATCAATGATTGTTCCTTATAACCGCATGCTTGTTTCTGGGAAACATTAATTCTCGGGGAAGCGAAGGTGAAGGGCATTGAATTTGCAAAAAGTGCCTGTGTAAGTCAAGACGCCAAGCATTTAAAGTCATTAATGCAACCTCATAAGCTTATACATACAGAAGATCAAGGATTGAGGTGGAGCAGTGCTTTGTTTATGACATGCCCATCTAATCAGGTCAAAGGAAGGTTCCTATTGTCTTGGTACAGACCAATTGGAAGCCTTCCCACAAACATGACGAGCTTGATGACCTGGAATGACTCAACTATCTCCCCTTAAAGGTATAAATGGGAGACTAATTCTAGAAGCAAAGGTACGCATCTTAAATCCAACAATAGCCTTGTGTCTCATCTCCCTCTTAAGAAACTGACTTTAACATTGGAGGGAAAATGCTGAAGACACCTCTGGCATCCCTTCTAACCTTTATTTGTGAGTGATAGATTATTCGATCCAAGATCCCAAAGTCTTTATTCGAGTGCAAGCCAGGCAACTGCTATGTCAAGTGTTGTACAAGAAATCTCCCTTACAAAACATTTCATTGCTTATGAGTTCATTTGATTCATAAAGATCTTTATCAAGTTTGGCACATTTTGACTCAGGATTCTTTTGGACTTAATAAGCTCATGACACTCTCTCTTAAGAAAGCTCACTCGATCAAGGAGAGATTTTTTTGCATCCTCTAGGCCATATATTTGCGTCTTGGACTTCAACAAGTCCATTTGAAGTGCTCTTGTCCCTGCTTCACTTGAATCAACCTGACCACTTAATGATATCACTTTCTCTTATTGTTTGAGGAATTGTATATATAATTTATCGTATACAACTTGTATATACTCAAAACAATCTTCATCCTCTACACATGTGGGGATTTCTTCTTCCAAGTCTTCTATCATCATGATAGGATTTTCCTCAACTTCACTTATTAAATTTTTTTTCTAGGGGAGAAGAGTGTGAGCCTACAAAGGCCGAAAAGTTCTCTTCATCATTCGAAGAGGAGTCATCACTCGGGATTGACTCACTTTCATTGTCACTTCATGTGGCCTTCATAGCTCTTCTCTTTTCCTTGGGCATATCTTTCTTGGTTCTATTTGGGCATTCTGATGTAATATGTCCAAATCCTTGACATTCAAAGCATTGGAAGTCATGTCCCTTTATCTCAACATCTTGTCAAGAGTCTCCGCCCCCTTTCTCTCTTCACTCCTTAGGAGTTCTAGGTCTACTTGATTTTCCTTTCAACCTTGATGACTCAAAATTTCTAGTGTTGAAAAATCTTTTTAACTTCTTTACAATCAAAGTTAGGTCCTCCTCTCCGATTTGGGGTGACTCAGATTTACGTCCTTCTTGTTACATTGAGCTCAAGGCAATGCCCTTCTTTTTCTTTACAGATGGAAGGTTTATCTCAAAAGTCAATATCAACCCAACTAGGTCTTCAATCGATACTAACTCCATGTTGACACTCATTTCCAAGGATGTGACTTTAGCATGAAACCTCTCGGGTAGAGATCTCAAGATTTTTCACTTGATGACCACATCATCAAACCTTGGAACTTAATGCAAATGACGAATTTACAATATCACACAATTTAGCGTAAAACTCACTAAATGTTTCATCATCTTGTATCCTCAAAGTCTCAAACTGAGAGGTGTACCTTTGGAGTTTAGACATCTTCACCATGGAAGTCCATTCGTGGGAAACAATCAAGATGTTCCATGCCTCTTTGGAGGTCTCCCAATTTGTGATTCTCCAGAACTCGTTTTGTGTCACGGAATTGAATATCGCATTCAAGTCTTTCGAGTTCCACCCCCACTGACTCTATCTCGATTTTTGACCAAGTCCTTGGGAATTTCAATTTAACCACCGCTTCACTACCCTCGACTTGTGTGGTGGTGGTTGGAGGGCTCCAACCCGCTTGCACAATCAACCATATTCTCCAATCAATTGATTTTATAAATGCTCTAATGTGAGCTTCCCAATAAGCAAAGTTAGAACCATCAAAGAGAGGTGGTCATGCAATTGGCCCGCCTTCTTTTTTAGAATCTATTTAAGATCAACAAGTGGTAATGATAGATCTGTAGAAGGAAAACTAGATAAGTAAGCAAAAACACGAAATGCCTACTAGTGCTAATGATCTTAAGGCAACTACGCTCTAATACCAATTGTTGTTCCAGAAAAAGAACCTGATGTATATCTTTCCTCACAATTATATACATGGAGCAATAGATACTTTACCTAGAAGGGGGTAAATAGGTTTTTTCAATTTTAACCCAACTGATTACTAATAAAAACATAATCTACCACAATTATCTCTTCTCACAAAGATATAGCAAATAATGTGCGAACCCTTTTAGTCACTATAATCCATTTTGCACATGACGATTGATTAAATTAATCTTCAATTAATTCGCTTGTAATCAATTTCACGTCGATCCCAAATCTCAAACCCTAATTTGCATACTATGGTTGAATAGATAGCAAATAATCATTCCAAAAAATATATAGTATGTTACAATCACAAGTGTATATTAAATATGTAAGATTAACACAAGTGATTTGTTGACGCAGAAAGGCTCATCAAAAAACACCGCAAGGAACCTTCTCGAACCATAAGCTAATCCACTACTCGCTAAGTCAACATAAAAATATACAAGTTTTATACTTCAACCAATACCATGGTTAGATACTCCTTTCCTTATTGTCTTTTCGCTAAAGCCTTCTTTCAACGTCTAGTGTAGCTTCACTTGGACCTCTCTGTTACACGATCCGTTTAGGCCTCAAGCAATCATGGGCACGCAAACAATCCCCAATATACACACACCAATGGGTTTGGTTTACACCATCAAGATCTTCAACACTAAGTTGTGAGATTGGGTAAAATCTCTAATGGTAGCATTTGGATTTAGAGATCTAAGTTAGTGGTGGAAGCTCTCAAGGTAGAACGAGTGTTTTATCTCTTAGAAATCTCACAAGAGGTTTAACCCAGTTGTGGGAAAGGCTCTGCATATTTATAGGTCCCGACTAAGGACAGTCTTACTAAATAAGAAAACTCATATTTGCGAACGACCGCTTGATCAGTGGGAGGCGATCACAGGACAGTTGACACTGGAATGACAAATACGTTTTCATCTTGTCTAGAAGCAACACTATTCGAGCGACCATGAGCACCTGCTCGAGCAACCTTGAGGGACCGCTTGAGTGAGTTCTATGTTGTTCCCCCTTCCCTAAGTCATCAAGGGACCGATCTAACCAAGGCTTGTGAGCATAACTCCATCTCTACCAATTTTTGAAGCACAAAATCAAGAAAAAACTAGTCCTCTAGAACACTAAATGGTGTTGCTTAAGAGGGGTCCGATAATAGCTTAATCTATGTTTTCAAAAAGCAAAATTATTTAGAAAATATTTTATTTTGAAATAACCTAGGAGCCATACATAGATTGCTTCCATTTCCATTTTCATCCTAATCCCCTAATTTAAAAGTAACTAAGGGTTCATTTTGGTATCTAAGTCATTCTTTTTATCCTTAGTATGAAGGTACATATGAAAGTTGAATGATGTCGCATTAAGGATTGATTTTCTCCCTTCAATGACTCTTTTGGATCTTCAACTTAATAGCATCATAGTCATGAAAAAGGTTGACATTTACAATGACCTTCACAAAATTAACCAATTACAAAATGTAATCTAACATAAATTATTCTTGTTACTCATTTAATCTTTTATTGTATCCACTTATACAGAAGTTACCTAATATAATATTTTCTTTATAATACACCAATCAAACGAGACGTATAGAAAAAATTTCACACATATCACAATTAAATAGCTCGTTTTAACTGACATGATTCTAACATTGTAGTTTGCCTTCAGCTCGAATGTTTGGCTCATCTATTGTAAATTTGGATATTTTAAAGACAGTTGTAGTAGGTCTGTTCAAAGGTAAAAAGAGAGTTGCTGTAAAATTACTTTGACCACATTGTAACATATTTTGTTCATGAACTATAAGAATCTACTTAGTTCGGACTAAACTGAAACTAATAGGAATTCTGTTAAAAAAAATGGTCAAATATCAAAATTCAATAATTTCAATAAAAAAATTGTCGAATTAACTTTTACATGAAATGTTTCTTGTTTTTTCTCTACCTCTAATAAATCAATTTTATTCACTTTTTATATATCAAATTATTAGTTCCGTTAATTGTTGCACATCAAGTCTAAACAACTACGAATGGCTCATAATGCTACGCCTCTTCTGAGACCGGAGTCCACTTCCGCAAAAATAACATTTCCTACTGCAGTTTGAGCAGGACCAAGAAACCACCCGACCCCAAACTGAAGAGAGAAAACGATCAATTGGGTCCTGGATGTAATAAAGATAGGCGACAATATGGTAATATATATATATATACATAGAATTTAAAGTATAGAGAGGCGAAATATTACTTGATCAAATCAGGAAGAAGTAGTTGTCTGCAGTTAAGTTAGACCTGGGTTGAATTGGAACTTGGCTTTACCATTTAAGTTAGACCTGGGTTGAACTCCCAACCCACCTAAATTGCAGTCTTATGTTTTACCTTGTGGTCAAAACCTTCACAAAGTATCTATATATGTATATGTACCTATATAGATATATAGACAAAGTATGTACATCAAAGTGCAGTGGGCAGAATCGCTATAAAAGCTACTTCTTTTCTTCAAATTAAATGGCTGAACTCATGTTAGTAGCAACGCATGCACATTCAAATTAGTACAAGGCATGGTGATGGCTAAACCAGATTCAACTTAATTACAGTCTCAATACATCATTAAAATAATTACCAGTACAAAAGAGATCTCTGAGCTTTTTCCGCAAAGGAAGATCAGGCAATACAATGCGGCACTAGAAGTAGAACAACATCTACGCCTCTTGAGGTGAGATCCATACGCCTCTCGGTGTAAAGATTGCAGTTCCAGTATTTCACAGAAAAAAGCTATCTTCGCTCATGGGTTCTCCTTGATCCTGATAAATACTTCCCAGAGTCAACAGAAGTTCTCTTTCTTGATTCTGTATGCTTCTCTGTCTCTTGATCAAGTGCTACCTTTTGCCTCCGCTGCAACTCGTCAACAAATCGGCGCCACATAGATTCCCTATCTTTCCTCGGCATCTTTGTATACCTTGGCTCAGCCTTTAGAAGACGTTTGGCGGTTGACCAAGAAGTGAGAACTGTTTTACCATCTTTTTCTTGTTCAGCTGCTTCTGCAGTTATGACCTCAGATAACAAACCTCTGAACTCATGTGCACATCGCTACAACAAACACAACGGATGAAAAAGTAGAATTTAGAGATATTATATAACGAGTATTACCTTCACAGGCATAACATCAAATGTCCTGTCAAAGCAAGAAAAAATTCATATAATATATTGAAGCAGCGCATTCAATTAGTGCATGGGCTTAGTGAACAGTCAATTTTGAGAACAAAAAATGATACCCCACCCCAACCGATATGAAATAACTACCCATAACCCATCCCTGAAGGCACGATGCAATATAAAATTTGAGCAACCAAAAAATCAATCCTACTATATGAAATAATTTTTTTTTCCCTCCCTTTCTTTAATTACATAATTTAAAATTAATTTCTCGCCATTAGTTTTTGTAAAAAAGTGAATTTTCTCAAAATAATTTACCTAAAAAAAATATCATGTGTAGAACAATGTCTTAAATAAAAATTGTATTAAGCCACAAATTAATCAAAAATAAAATAATTTAACTAGTGATAGAAATGGGTGATGGGATAGAAATGAATGGAAAAAAATATATGGAGATAAGATTCAAACTCCTAACTACCCCATCACATAAATATATCGGCCCATCAACTATCAGTAGAGATTGGGAACAATCAGATTTTAGTATGTTCCACACCAGTGGAACTTGGAGACGAGAGATACCATCGGATTACAGCGAATGGGGGGTGTTGCGATATCATTAGTCATTACTGAATATGCCACATCACATTTTGGCTTAGGTAACAGCCAATTTTGAGAATAAAAAACTAATTGTAATGGAATGGGTACTCGCCCCAACCGCTATGAAATAATATATTGGTCCATCAACTATCAATATAATACTAGAGAGATCGGGAACCATCAGATTTCAGTATGGTGCACACCATCGAACATTGGATACAAGTGATACCATGAGCAACTTAGAGCAGATTGGGGGGGGATGTTGCGGTATCATTACTGAATATGCTAACATCACATTTCTGGATGATGTTTACAGTTCAAAATTATTTTTAGAATCTTACTTTTTCTACGATTCCATCCTTATCATGGTTTTCCAGGATTTAGTAATCCAAATCAACTGTTTCTGAATCCAATGCATTTCATTGATCTTAAAACCTGGGTAAAGGGTCTCTCTGTTCAAGTCGGGATAAAATCCTTCCATACGTACGGAAGTGTGATATTTGAAGGCTTATGAGTACGAAGTTTCTTTCCAAGGAGCCTCAGGCTATTTTCTCTATTGCTTTTATTCAAATTAAAGAAATGTTAAGCCATCATAATCTAGAGAGATGTGACTCCTTATCTCATCTGATGCATAACGACCTTCAACCATATGGGCTTAATAAGTTTTATTTTAGAAAAAGATAGACCTAGGCTTGAAAAGGGCAAAGAAATAAACGGTGGATATTATGGAAGAATAGGAAAAAGAAGCCTCGGGGTCACCACTGCGTTCTTAGGCCTCAAATGTAAGAGATGATGCCTCTCACATGACAAAGGAGGAAGTTCAAATATCTGTCCCTTCATTCCCCTAAAACAAAGCTAATTCAACAAATTATATAGAACTCTATGACTTGGTAGCTAAGTACACTTTGAAGCAACCAACACTAGAAAAAAGAAGACTTGGAATTCGTATTGACTAGAACCAAAATATTCTAGTATAAAAACTGTTATCCATATGGAGTGCCAGATCAAGGATAGTATGGAAATCACATAGTATAAGTTTCAATATGATTGATGTAATCACATTGTGCCATCACGACATGGAGCCTAAACCATCTGGCACAAAAAATACACAAATAAGCGCCGCACCATAAAGAGCCCATCATGAAGCTCCAGATAAAATTCTTGCCAAAGAACTATATTAACCCCGCGAATTTAATTTCCCCTTACCTTGTAATATTTTCCAAGCATGTTGTCTCATCATTATCCTCCTTTCCATACCATTCTCTCTCTCCCCCATTTCCTTTCACCCACTTACTATTCCTATTTATTTTTTCACCTTGCTCCATTAACTTCTCCACCTACCCTAATTTCTCCCATATTTTCTCCATTTCTACTATCCTTCACCGAGCTCATTCATAGCTCTTCGTCCCACCTTTTTTATGTCAGCTTCCTAAATCAAACTCTTTCTGCTAAAGGTTGCCCTAAGTCAGAGATGCACATGCAGATCGAGAAGAAGAATTGAGGATGTGAAGACAAAATTCGACTAATAAAAAAGAATTCCCAGTGTACATCAGATGCCCCAGCAAAATTAGGGTTTGTGGTTCCTGGGGTTGCCCATCAGTTATTCTACCTTGTTATCGTCGAGTCAACTTCTTTTTTCCTGGGAGTAAATTCAAGTAGCATTGTCATTTTATTTCTTCTTTTAATGATTATTTTCTCCTGGCTAATTAATAATAACAATTTTGACATTCAAGCAATACCAAAAGACAATCGGTGGAATCAAATAATTATCCCGTATATTTTATTTTTTGGAAAACCATTGTCAGACAGACCCGCCAATAATGAATGAAATTTCCATGGTTTTACTTCCAAAAATCTCAAGAATAGATAAAATATCCCAAAACTTATCTGTCTATTGTGAAACAGAGATTCAATCAGTTGCAAGTCAAATTATCAATATCATCAAATCACCAAAAGAGGTAGGTACATTCTAGTTCAAGTTCACACAACAATCGCCTGATTGATGTCAGCTTAAAAGCTTTAGAGGGAAAGTGATCATGGTTCCAGAGGATCCACAATTGGAGTTGTGGATGATCGTATCACACAAAACTGAATACAAAATAATTCTCAAATGAACGAATGAAGTAGTGAAACTAACTTCTAATTTAATGCTGCCTTTTTCTTTTCAGATTGCAATGTGCAAATATCTTAATCCCAAAAGAAACAATAATTTTGGAAGGAGAACTGAAAGCAATAGATAAAATCTAGGAACATTTATTTTCAATGACACAACTAGATTATGTTCAGGAACACAGAAGAGTGAAAAAGCATTATCGAAGAGATCAGTAACCATGTGCATCATTCAAAATGGAAGAGGTAGGATAAGTGTCAGCGTACCTCATGCAGTATCTTAACATGTTCTCGGAAAAACTTTTCTAAGTCCGATTGATCTAAATGAGGATTGGCTGCACGTCCTTGAGGATCCTTCTCCAATTTAGACTTTGATTCCGCCCAAGAAGCCTATGCACACAATTATAAACAATGCAGTGAATTACTAGAGGTACAAGTGAAACCAGCCACACCCTAGGACAGAGAGCCACCGAAAAAACAGACAATTAAGCAGGGATGCTCAATCAGTTAAATGTCTACTGTACATCTGCATGAAAAGTGTACAAGCACACACGCTCACATTGGAAGTGGGGAGGGAAGAGATAGTTACGCATCAGGAGAATCAGAAGACAACAAAATAACTGCTCCAAACTTCATGATTCCATCGACTTTGAAAACCTAAATGAAGCCACTAAAAAAGGAGAGTGTGTGAGGTGTGTGCGCATAGGGTGTCTCTGTGTGGTGTGTGTGTGTGAGTGTGAGTGAGGTGTGTTATGTGTGCGTGTGGGGTGTCTGTGTGGTGGGTGTGGGTGGGTGTGTGAGAGAGAGAGACAGAAAGAGTGATGTGCAGCTTGGACATTCCCAATCAAAGTAGTATTATGTTAAAACCCTTTAAATTTTCTCAAAATACAAAGCATTCCACAAGTAAAGAAACATAATCCCACAGAATAACCCCACCTCCCTAAACACTGAATGACATAAGAACACAACTATAGGAAAAATGAAGAAATAAATGACCAATACTCTCACCACATGCCCTACACATCACACACCATTTAGGAGAAAGGCAAGCATAAGGCCTCCTCCCAAGTTACAAGTATTAACCTTCTGATGAGCCACAATCCAAACAAGCCCTGCCTTAGTAGGCACTCTAGCCTTTCAAATCATCAAAGGAGGTTATAAATCGGGAAAAATTGGATAATCAATTACCAATGGATGAATGAATTGTGAGAAAAGAATTTTGAAAAATCAAGTTACAAAATATCTTACCGGAAACCAGCAGTTCCAAGGAAATTGACTCAAGCAATGATAATGGGGGATGAAAACTCCAAAAAATCCTGGCCATTTAAACTTCTAAAAAAAACGAAGTTTCATCCCCATTGAGAAGAAGAGTCTCCCTTCCAAATATCTTTCCAAAAACAAATTTTCTTCCCACTAGTCCAAACCTATAAAATGGGAAACAAAACAGGATATATCCGGTGTAAATCCGAAGAACCTGCTCTAACACCATGTCAAGCTTAGGGTTCTAATAGAGAATTCTAGAAGAACGGTGCAAGAGCAACAATTATTCCCCTCTCTCTCTCAGCTTATAGGCATAGTTATAGAAGGAAATTGAAAAGACGAGTATACCCCTACAGATGTATACTTATTACATCCATATAAACCAAAAAAAATATTAAAAATCTTCAACAAGTAAAAAGAGAATAAAACCAAAATGGCCACCCCAAAAAACTATGATAACCAACCATTCATAGAATTCCTATTAAACATTCCTTTGCGAACTGTAGCAAGTAAATACCAAATCCACTGAATTATTTCATTTCCTGTATTACCTTAGTTTACTGAATGCTCTGCCACTGCTATTTGTTTCCTGCTAAGCAGGAGGTACCTATTCTTGCTTCATGAGTTTCTCAGCAGTTGCCTGCATCAATGAAGTTATACTAACCAAGGAATCATTATTTTTTCATTACTTTACCGGTTGAAAGCTTGACAAGTGATTCAGAAACTCCATAAATTCAAACCTTAATCTGCCAAAGAGTAAGTACCTGCGTCATGCCATCTCTAGAAGTTGAAATTCTTCCTTACTAATACTTCATCCATATATAGTAACCGATGGATTCCAATTATTGACAATTTTAGATTCTCCCCGGCTTTTACAAGCAACCAAAGTAAGATCACTTCACCTTTCCAAGCATTCTATTATCTTCTAGATAAGAGATGTAAGATACTAAAATCAAACACAAACCGAATATGGCTTGTGTAACACCCATCAAATTGGTGTCTTAACCTTCACAATCTTCCTGTTTCAACTAACCCTTTCTGAGTTCTATCTATTATGGCTATCCCGGATAATGGTGAGTGTCATCCTACTTCTAATTAATAATATTTCATATTTGATAAAGAAAGTTAATTTGCAAATTTTTTAAATAACAAAACACACAAATCCCCTCCTCCAAAAAAAAAAAAAAAAAGCTCACTTTCTAATGCAAACTAGAGGTATCACGGCCCATATTTCTGTCTATTTTAGATCTAAATAGTGAATTTATGCACATATGCTACTTCATAGAGCAATGCCCTAAATTGTGAATCTGAGGGACACATTCAGCCTTCCCTTACTACCTCAGAAGTAAAATCTCAGTTGTACCTTTCCCCACTACAAATGTACCACTTTTTTTGGAACAATCTTCCACAAAAATCTCAAAATCATTGAATGAAATACGACTATGATGTAACCTAGGTAGAGATTCAAGAACTGCAAGAAGTGGTAGACCCCAATTGACTCTCAGACCAGGCCAAGCTTGCACAAACGATTTTTTGAAATCACCAGCAAAGAAGAGCAAGAATTATGCAATTTCCAGTCACTCCGGCTCGACAACCACAAGCTCTGGAGCTGAAAAGTTGCGCCCACAAAAGAGAATTCACAAAATTAAAGAAAAACTTGCAAAACAGGATATTTTCTTCTCAAAATTAGCACCAGCTTCTTCATTACGGCACTCACCAAGGAACTTGTCTCCTAACTACAAGTCCAATATAAAGATTAAAATTTGTAATTGACTAGAATACTTACACAAAATCCAAAGTGAAGATAAAGATCCATTTCATATGAAGTATAAATACTTAAACTACACCCTCTTCAATAGCTTAAACTTTTGGAATAGACGGTTATTTAAAATAGTATCGGAGCAAGAGGTCCTATGTTCGAGTTTCGCCGCCACCCCAATTATTAAAAAAATTTCATGTGCTAGGCCCAAAATCTAACATGCACGTGAAAAAGTGTGTCGAAATATAAATAGTTAAGTTACACCATCTCCAATAGCTTAAGCTTTTGGAGTAAATGATTGTTCAACACATTCAAACCCATTGACCCAACCAACTCCTAACTTCTTTAAATGAAGTTAATACCATTGTTAATAATAATTGTGAAATTCAGGCAACTGCCCTGAGAGACCATCTTTATGAAGTTTAGATTATTTTCTTTTCGCCAGAAATTGATCTGCAATCTCGATTGCAACAGAATACTGTTATTATGCACTCAATGACTACTTGAAAGGAAATATCTCGTGTTAGCCTGAGCAAGCCAATGAACTATCCATTACTACATAAATAAACAACAGTGGTAAAATCAGACATTAATAAGACTACCTGAGGATCCTTGATAGTTTCCACAAGTAAAGCTTGATAAGACTCAACAGCCACCTTCCTCCGAGCTTTAGATCGCACTCTCTCTACTTCTTGTTCTTCTCTTTCTTTCCGTTTACGCAATGCTCGCTCTCTTTCCTTCAATTTCTCCTGAATGATCACATGCCGAAAACTTAATCCATTCTTTAAGAAAAAAAACAGCTGGAATACGAAGATCATCAGTGTACATTCTCACATTGTCAAAAAAGTCTTTTAGCTAGTAGGAGGACAAAGCATTTTACACAATCAATAGATATATCAAAAAAACGCTTGAGCATTCATGAGAACAATTGCAGTGGTGATGATATATTCAGAAACTGTGTACAGTTCAATGCTGTACATTTTATTATTGCCATCTTGACACTATATGTCTCTCTCCAAAAAAACCATTAGGTAACAAAAAATCACCAAACCTTTAATTCCATTAATTTCCACTGGACAGTATTTCAACATTATCAGCCATATCCACTAAAATAGTTTCATCAAAGAAGCAATCCTTATTGTTAAGTGCTGACTGCTGCACGTGAATACTTAGTTGTGAATTACCAAATTCTAACAAGTATTTCAGATAATCAATAATTTTTGGAAGCAGACTCCACAAGGTTGCACGGAGGCTGACAGAGGACGTTCACATGACAAAACAGACACAAATATGGATGAAATTTTGTAAAACATGGCATGGGCATACACATGAAAATCCAATTAAGATACACATTCATGTGTTAGGTCAAAGGTCGATACATTATAGAGGTTTAGTTTTATTATTGCGTGAGTTAGATTTTCTTTGAGCATAATTTCGCATTCCCCCCCCCCCCCAAAAAAAAAAAAAAAGGTCAAATTGCATTGCTTCAATGTTCTAAGGTTGTTCCTTATTTTACACTCACTGTTTTATCATTTATTATTAAGACTATTTAATTGGGGAGTGTTTATCAGTGTATTACTGGGATGTTGGTAGCACTTTATTAGTGTAATTGTGAGAGATTTAGGGTTAGGGGGAGGGAGAGAGAGAGAGGGGGGGGGCAGAGAGGTAGAAGTTTTGTTGCACGCCACTCTCCCCATGTGAATATACCTATGTATGTGAAAAACAATCAAAACACCAATATACCCCTTTAGGGATATCCTTATTACAAGACTACCACTCCTCATATTCCAACACTCCCCCTCCAACTAGGATTATCTAGATAATCCCAGCTTGGAATAAATATCTCCTAATCGAAAATTACTCAAAAACTTAGTAAATATATCCGCAAGTTGATTTTCAGAGACAAACAATATGACAATATCTCCACACACCACCTTTTCTTGAATAAAATGACAATCAATCTTAATGTGTTTCATTCGTTCATGAAACACGTGATTAGAAGCTATATGTACAGCAACTTGATTATCACAAAACAGCAGAAGTGAATTTTGAGCTAAGAAACCAATTTTTTGAAGTGTCATGTTAACTCACTACATGTATGAGTCATTGTGTTGTACTTAACTTTTAGTGTACTAGATCGTGTCACCACTGTCTACTTCTTACTCCTCCATGTAACTAGATTACCTCCCAAAAAGGTAAAATATCCTGTAGTAGACCGTTTATCAAAAGGAGAACCTGCCCAATCTATATCTGTGAATCCTTCCAACTGAAGGCACCCGTTTGATTTGCACAGTACTCCCAAGTCCTGGAGCTCGTTTAAGGTATCAAATAATATGAATAACATCATCTCAACGCAGTACTCGAGAAGCTTCCATAAATTGACTCACTACACTCACTGCCTATGAGATATCTAGTCAGATAATAGTGAAGTAATTCAACATCCCAACGACACGACAGTATCATCTAGGATCTAAGAAACATCCACCTTCAATCACCGAGAGTTTATGATTTGGATCCATAAGGATATCAACCAATTGACCACCTAGAAGCCATGTTTCCTCTAGATGATCAATTAAATATTTTCTTTGAGATAGATTGATGCCTTGTTTAGATCTAACAATATCAATACCAAGAAAGTATCTAAGTTTGTCCAAACATTTGGTATGAAACTGATGCTACAAAAACTTTTTTGACTTAGCAATACCACCTAATGATATTACCCACACCAGTCCGTAAATGAAATACCAAATGATCTGTTTGGCATCTATGAAGACCAAAATCCAATAGCCTCTAAAAATCATAGTTTTAAACTTAGCCAGGACATCAGCTCGACAAAGAGATTGGTTCAATGGGTCACAGGTTCAAACATTAGGTCTCTGGTCAAACCGATCATATATTAAAAAAATAAAAATTATTATTAATAAAAAACATAATAAAATTAAAAAAATGGCATGTTTAATGTATTTTACATCAAATAAAATTTAAAAATTAATGGAAATGCAATGCATCGAATTTTCAAGATTCAAACTTACAAAGCTCTGACATTCACATACAAAAATAATTAAAAATCCATGCTACAGAGTATAGATTAATGTTTTACTCAATTTAACACCAAAATGATCTCAAGAGTCATCAACAAAAAACACAAATGAAAAAAACAAAAAGTGGCCAAAAATTAGATGAGTACGAGAGAGAGACCATCACAAAGTGACAACCTGAGAGCCCTTCTTTAATTCAAGTGGATCTGAAAATACTAAAAAGGAATTATTAACCCATCTTCGATTTAAGCCAAATCATTAACCCTTCTACTAAGGAAATGCAATCAAAAAAGGAAATCAAGGAATGATTAGTAACATGAGGCCATGAACAGAAGGGTGATCACGCAACGACGATCGATGAATCAAGAGATGAAAGGAGTTTGAGATTGAAGAGAGGGGGGATGGGACTAAGATAAGAGACTGAGAAAGTTGGGGCCATGCAGCAATTAGGGCATTTTTGCCCAAAAAATCTCATTTTTATAGCCCTTTTAAGTGACCCATCTGATTTTTCTAAAACTGTCCAGTTTGAACGGTCCGTTAAAAAATTATCCGGTTTAATGGGTCGTGGACAGGTTTGATGTCCAAACAATCTAACTTAAAAACCGACCTGATTTAGGGCCTGGTTCACCAGGTCAACTTGTCGAGCCAGGCCAAGTTTTAAAACTCTGTTAAAAACTTCTCAAACCATGCTCGCGAGAATTGTTTCAAGCCACACAACGCCTTCTTCAATTTGTATACACTTCCCTAATACTCCTCCTAAGCAACAAACTCATGTAGTTGCTCCATGTAAACTTCTTCCATCAAATCATCATATACAAAAACACTCTTGGCATCTAACTAGAAGCCTTGAACAATGGCTAGTCAAGATTACAGCAAGAAAAATTAAAACCCTAATAGAAGAAATATTAGCAACCGTGAAGAACGTCTTTGTATAATCAACATCATATGTTTGGGTATAGCCCTTAGCAACCAAACGAGCTTTGAGACAATCCACAGAACCATTTGGATGAAATTTAATTGTATATACGCAACGACACCCAACAGTCTGCCTATCAGAAGGTAACGGGACAAAATCCCATGTACTAAGAGTAACTACGAGATGGGGCTATATGGTGAAAATGAGATAAGTGACTAGAAGAACCAATCATGTGGTCTGAAGCTCCAGAATCGGTGATCCACAGACTCAAAGTAGAAGACAATAGATTAGTAGATATCGTACCTGATTGAGCAATAGTAACAGTAGAGGAAGCTAAGGCTTCTTTCTGAGACATGGATCGAGTATACTCATCCTGGAAAATAGTAATAAGGTCGGTAGCAGAGGAATGAACAGGTCTAGATGATGGAACTGAAGTAAGAACAACATCCTGAAAAGAAGCCTAATAAGCAGAGACTGATTGTTTACCATGGTAAGTCCCAACAATAATTCACAATATGATTATTCTGACCACAATGAGTACATTTGTGAGTATCGCAGCCTCCTCTACCACCACGACCTCCACAAGAACCACTAGAACCACCACAACCTCCACAAGAACCACTAGAACTACCACGAGTGCTGCGACCTCCTCTACCACCATGACCTCCATGAGAACCACTAAATCCACTCTAGGAGACGACTAAAGTTGAACAATTACTACAATGATCAATACGTGTTGTAGAGCTATGATCTAACAAGGTAGCTTGCTAAAGACGGGAGGGAGAACACACAAAGAAGAGAGGGGCACGTGGGGCTACCCAATATTTATGCACGGATAGACTCATACTTTAGTGTCAACCCAAGTACGAAACAAACAACATCAAAGTCATCATGTTGATGCTGCATACGTAAAACGTCATTAAGAAATGGGTTGATACATCTTGAGTTCTTCACAAACTCTCACAAGTATAACCTTGGAAAAATTATCCTCAAGACTCAAGTTACCCGGCTCAAGTCCAAAATACTGTCTACATAACTAATAAATATGCGTGATATTACCAATCCCTGAATACGTGTGACTATAGGTCCCATATTTCCCTGACAACATCTTAGTCCCACAAGGTACAACTAATATTGGCTCAATACAATTCAATAATAGCAACATGATTTGAGCATCTTCCTATTCTCATACTGAGTTATTAATATCGTACGATACGTGATACGTATCGTATGATACATCACCATACACTTGAAAAACGATACGTATCGTGTCTTTGTATCATTTTGCACTATATCGTACGATACACGATACCATATGTGACGATTTTTTTTTGGTTTTTTGAGGCTGAAATGATATCGTTTTACCCCAGAACTTATTTCTAAATCACTATCCAGTGAAACAATGTCGTTGAAGTGGTTATGGTATTAAAAAAACAAATAAATAAAATCTATTGTTAATGTTGTTCAATTGAATTCAAAATTCCTGATTAATATTAAGGTTGTCCAAGCAAGTTTGAATTAGAGGTCTTTGCAAGTTAATATTACTGAACTATGTTGGGAACTTGAATAGTTTGTGAAATATTAATAAAATATTATGTTATTATGAGTCTATGACTTTTTTACAAAGGTATGTATATATTTTATTAATAATTATTTTAAATTGTGTGTATCTTATGATACGCGATTTGACAACTATGTTCCCATATACGAAAATTATAGTCCGTCTCCTTAGGCTTATCTTCCACTAAATGACTGTGTATGCCCTTTGCCTTTAGAAATAACTCCAATGATTCAGACCAGAATACATAATTAGTGACATTAAGTTTGATATTAGTTGTGGGTGCATTAAAAAATGCAGCAGAAGAAACTGGTTCAGTTTTAGGGACTGAAACTGATTCAGTGAAGTCTTAGAACCCATAGTGCCACCACAAATAAGAACCTAAAGAACTGAATTGTGAAGGAGCAGAGAGATCCAGTCTATCCGAGACAAAAGAAAACTGTATCACCAAGAAAAGCAAAAGGCTTATGCTGAACCAAGTTCAAACTCACCGGATTCGGTCCTAAAACAGGCAGAAACACCACCAAACACACTGAACTAGGCTGCAACTAACTGAACCAGGACTAAAGTTCACTGTTAGGTACTAAAACAATCTGAAAATATTTGAACCAGCCCGACAACGGGCTGAACTGGCCTGACAATGAGTTGAACTGAGCTGAAAATTGGTTGAACCAGTCAAAAAATGAGCTGAACTGGATCAGAATGGATTGGGGTGAGTTCAAACCGGAAACTGTGGGCCTAATTGGGTCCAACTACTAAGCTGGGTACTGGATAAAGACAAGATTTGACCCGGAATAACCCAACCTAGAATAACTCAATAACCCAGTCAAATATACTCTACGCCCAAAGCCAAACTGGGTCCTTTGCAAAAAAAAACAAACCCTAGAACACAATTCTTCTCCATTGTTCAAACCAAACACTTTGACTAGATAACGGCAGCACTCAATAACGATACTACAGCTACTCCCAATCACAACACATAAACCCAACAAAAAATGCATCAACATCAACTTTAGCAACAACATCCAACAACGTCAATGGTATACACAATTCGACTCCATCGGACAACAACCATTCTTCAATTACCAACGAGAAACAAACCAAGAAACCTCAACGAGGCATGTCACTGGTGACGAACAAAGGGAACACAGACGACAATTGTTAATCGACCTCAACCAACAATTGAACCAATGTAATACACCAATAAAGAAGAAAATACTAGAGAAAGAAAAGAGAAAGATGAGGAAGAAGCGAGCCAATTAAAGAGAAGGCTCTGATACCATGCAATTGTGAGAGAGTTAGGAAGAGGCTAAAGGGGAGAGAGAGAGAGGGGGGTGGAAGTTGTGTTGCACACCCCTCTCCCCCATGTGAATATATACATGTGAAAAATAATCAAAAGACCAATATACCCCTTTAGGGTATCCTTATTACAAGACTACCATTCCTCATAGTCTAACAATTAGGAAGATAGTTTTTAGTAGGAGACTTGGCCTATAAATAATCATTTCATCTCTACCCTTTTGATTAGAGAAATATAATGGAATTCGTTAAATTATTCTATGAGGAGAATTCTGTTTCTTGACCTAATCCTTTTGTAATCTCCTCTTGTTTTCTTCTTCCATATTATGTTCTACTTTCCCTTTGGTCCTACATCATCCAACTTAAATTTACCACTTTTCCTCTCGTTTTCAATAACTGTTACCAAGAAGAACAGTAGTCATATAATGAACATAGTGCCCAATTGACATTTGAAATTCATGAAATTCCTCAAAACAAAGATTTATTGCTTCCTAGATCAAGGATTAAGTATATCAACACAAGGTTCACGATGAGTATGTCCATGACAATGTACTACTCTCTTTGGGTAGTAGAATTTCCTATTTCGAAGTATTCTGATGGAGCATCTATTGAAGGACTTTGTACGATGTGAAGAACGTCATATAGATGATCGCGGTGAACAAGTGAGGTAGTATGTGGAAACAAAACTCGAGAACAATTCAGAAGCGTCGAAGAAACCTAGCAAGGCTCTTCAAGCCCTCTAAGCAAATCCCCTTATCCTTGTTGAATCTATGCTTAGTCCGTTGTTGCGTGATATGTATTTGTTTTAAGTGGTATCCCTGTCTTGTTTTATTCAAAAGTCAAAGTGGTTCACATAAGAGTCACTTACATGAAGTATGTGTTAGACATGTGGGTTACTCAAGTTAGGGTATTAGAGTCATCTTTCATTGGGCTATCTCCAGCCTTGACTCAAATTAAAGTCAACATTTGTTTAAAAATCTTGATTTGATACAAAACACTCAAATGACAAAAGTCAACTTTAAAGGAGAGGAAAAACTAAAATTTAAATTAGAAATGAGGATAAACCCAAATTTAAAATAATCTGACCATGGGATCTTTAAAGAATGGTGAAATATAACTATTGAAGAGTTGAGTCACCCTTCATTTGCTCGAACTTGTTTTTCGCATGTTTTTATTCGATTTTAAATTGAAGTAAGGGCTTGAGTAAGGACTAGAAATTCTCCTAGGGCAACACTAGAGTTCATAAGCAACCAACTTATGTCATCGGCAAAAAAATCATAAAATTTCATTTCTCTTTGGTCCCTCTGAACCATGGAAAATAATGTGCTCACTTTTCAAAAACCACAATGTAATTGACTATTTATGCATGATTAACGTGGTTTGCACTAAATGGACAAAAGAGAGTGTTGTTTCTTTTCTATTTTCTGGGTGGGAGTGGGGAAGGAAACATAAATGATGGGATGATGGGTTACTTGTAATCTTCACTACTACACAATAGAAGTACAATGATTGTAGTTGCACTCCAATATTCCGGCAGGGAAATACATAGAGTGGCTAAAAATGCACCAGGGCCATAACCTGTTCAGAGAAATAACAGTAAGGCAATCTAAAGTATTTTTCTGGTGCGGGAACAGAGCGAAAAAGGTAGAGAGAGAGTCAGGGATTATGGACTTATTGTCCGCATAAAAGTGGTAGTCAATCCTATGAGAGGCACTAGTAGGAAAGAAGGCAAACTTCTAAATCATTCTTGACATTACATGATTATTAACACTATATTATAACGCATTTTTAAAAAAAAAAAAATTGGGCGAACACTTAATCTTCAAATAATTGGGGATGCTAACATTAAGATAATGGAATTAAGTATGTATGTCAAAAATTCACTTTGATATGCTCTCTCCACAAACCAAGTATGCCTCAGAACATCGTGTCCGACATGGAAATCAATCAACACTATAAGTGCCCATGCTAGCGAGGTCACCTACCTGATCCTGATGATGCTATTTAGCAATCATTAAGGTGATTGATTAAGCAATTTCGGTAAATTGTAGTTCATTAAGTTTCACGTAGTGAATGAAATACACATTTAATTGTTGTTCGCAACATAACAAAAGAAATTGTTCGTATATAATGCAACAACTAAAGAGGCAAGTCCAACATCGATGGGCTGCAAAACCTGCCATTGCAACCACCAGTTTTGTGCTAAAACTTAAAGAACCAAGTGTTCTTACAACAATAAATGCAGTTTCCATAGCATGAGCAATATGGAGACTTCAAGGATGCTTAAAAAATTAGAAGATGTAGCATCATAGGAAGCTTCTTTTGTTTTCCTGTTTCCTTGGCATGAAAAATAATCACAACACTAATCTGGTCAATCAAAAGGAAAACTTTAAAACTAATCAATATGAATAAGGCTTCAAAAAATCACAAGAACGCAAGCACCAAGAGTAGCGAACTCGGGAAAAAGGAACAAATTTATGTCAAGACTCAAGATATAGTCTGTACAAGTGCAGCAGAGTTTTTACGCATCTCGCAAATTAATGAAGTAATAGATCAAAATTCTTCATTTTTTTAGGGAGGGCGAGGGAGGAAATAATAAAGGAACAGAGTTGTGAACCACAATTCTGGCAAGAACGGAGGCCTGAAGCCGTAGTTTCTAGCCACAAAAGGCCAGAGATTAACTTGCAGCAAGGGAAGGCTTGAATACCATGACTATGGGACTGAACTCGAGTCTAAAACAAGAAGTGTTCAGAAACTGCCCCAAAATTAATGTTACAGCTCTAGACGGCAAACCTAAGGAGGTTAATTAACCGTGAAGTGTTTCATGATTAAGAAAACCCCGAAAGTCATATCGAGCTGATGACAAACTGCCAGCTTACAAACAGCCACCTACTTTGACTAATAAATTAAGACAAGATCAAGGATCAAAATTTCGTTTCGGTGTGTTGTTTCGGTCACCTAAGAAACGGAAACGTTTCGATGTGTTTCGGAAACGTTTCGATCCATTTCGGAAACATAATGAAAAAAATAAAAAATTTAAGAATTATTTTTCTAAAACATTGATTAAAATATATCAAAATATCTTCAAATACCTTGAAACATTTCGAAATAATTGTGCAAATGCATTGAAATATTATAATATATCTCAAAACATTATGGAATACCTCGAAATATTAGAATTTCGATTCAATTACTGTTTCGTTTCAGCCTCCTTGAAAACAGAAACGTTTCGGACATTTCGACCGTTTCGAAACGATATTTTGATTCTTGGACAAGATGACTACCTTATAAGAAAATCTTTAAAAAATAAACATTTAATAACATAATTATAACAACTATAGGCCAGTGTTTTTAAAATCGGGCCCGGCCCCTGCCCAATGGGTTCACCCAGTAAACCGACGAATCAGAGCCTAAACCGGGCCGATTCTTGTATTGAATCATTTAGACACAAAACCCAGAAGTAACCCGCCAAACTGTCCGGTTCGTGAGCAAACAGTTCAACCCGAACGGTTTGTAATAAACCAGCCGGATCAATAAAAAGGGTATAAATAACCAGGGTTTTGGCCCTTTTAGGCATTTTTTGCCCTAAACCTTTTTGTGCTCTCTACCTCTCGCGAACGTTTGAGGTACGACAGCCTCACACCTCACTGCTCTCTCTTTTTGGGCTGCGACTCAGCCGAAGATTGAACAGTCGAAGGCCTTACCATTGACCAATCAAAGTCAAAGGCAGCAGGTACGACGTTCTCTATGGATTTCCTCAAAGAGATCAAGATTTATTGATGTACCTGCTACTTCACACTCAAAGTCAAAGGATATCCTTCCTTCATTCTCTATGGATTTCCTTTTCTCAAGTAAAACGTAGCATAAATCTGGATATGGGTATAAATTTGGATCTCGATCTCTTTAGTTATTGTTGTTCTTTGTGACCCAACTCGGTGGTAAAACCTTTGCACTTCAGTACGACTTTGTAGTTTGTTTTTTTTTAAATGGATGGATATTTTGGTCGCCAATGTTCAGTATAGAATTACCAAATTTATGTGGTCTGTAAATTTGCTCCCCTCTCTACAATTTCTACGACATGTAAAATTCTATATCGAAAATTGAATGTATTGAATACATTTTTTTTTATGATTTTGGAATTTTTTGTTTGATCTAATATACATTAAGTATATTATTTTCATAATTATTATGATTTTTAGCCTATTTATAATTAATTTTTCATTTTTTTTATTATATTACCGGTTCGATTGGTGACCCAACGGTTGAACCAAAAACCCATTGACCTGATCTCTTTTCTGGGTTGATGTCCGGGCCAGGTTTTAAAACTATGCTATGGGTAATTATCAAAGGTGATTAAATTCAGCTTTAATATTTTTTCTTGAGACGTCTGACTTTCAAATTAAAAACTAGTTTTCAAATTTGATTGAATCATTATGAGTAAAAACAAAAGAAAATGACAAAGAATTGAAAAAAATGTTCTTTACCTCCTCGTCCCGTTTGGCTTTAGCCGTTCGTTCTGCTTCCTCTGCGGCAGCCTTTAGTGAAGATATATATTCATTAAATAAAGCCTGCCTTTCCTCATGCTTAACAGATTTGTACCGAGGGTCATTCCTTAGGCTATCCTTCACCTACCACAGTCAAAAATATTAGAACTATTCATGGGGAAAAGGTATGATGAGAATTGGAAGACTCGAGAAACAAAATCATCCCTATGCGTACATCCAATGTGTGACCCAACATAATCCTTTTCAAAGATTTGCATAGCTCTATATGAAACTTTAACCTTATAATTATTAAGGTTTGCTACCATGTGACAGTTTTCTGAAGATGATTTCAATATTCATCGAGATATCAAATATTAAGATCCATCCACAATGGTTATTCCGGAATGCATTCGCTCTACTTGAACTCAAGTTTATTTGAAATGCAATTTAGTTCATTTAAATGTAGTTAAATTCTATTTTCTTCTGCTTTAGACTGGAGATGGAATTTACTCAGAAGGGCCCATGTGTCATCAGCCAGTGAAGATTTCCTGCTCTCATTACACACATTTAGGCTCTTCTTAAATGTAAATTTTAAATGATAGAGAATGAGTTCTTGTTCCAAAATAACCCATACATATCTCTGCTTTCAAATATGCACTGATATGTATGGTAGGTAGCAGAATACTACAGGTATCCCCTGGTTTCAGGGGTCAGAATAGCTCAAGGTGCCAGGTTCATTACAATGATGAATATTCTAGGGTATCCCATGATTCCCATCAAATAAGCTACAGCAAGAATTGGTTCCCCCTCATGAGTTGTCAACCAATGTTTGTTCTATCAAGGGGACTCCAAGGATCAGGAGTTTATTAAAGAATGAATTATTTTCCTTGATGGGGTTGAACAAAACAAATGCATCACCCAAACACAGGAAAAAAGAAAAGGAACCAAAATGAAATAAAAGAGCTATTAATCAAAAATCTGATTTTCGCAATTCATCCGAATAGTCTCAATTTGCAGGCTACAGTTGTACTAAAGTTGTATAAACATGCACTCCATATCCAGTTCCAGAGATATATTACAAGTGGATGTTTGAACCTTGATGGCTGATTTGAAACTGTTCTTGCAAGATGAAATACCACAAGATTTTAGGCCCATTAAGCAGACAAGGAAGTAATAAAAAGTACATTTTCAAACTAAACTAGTATTTTTATTCTAGTAAACTGCATTTAGATTCCCAGAAATCACATGCAATGGATCAAGAAAAGTGCAGATAAAGAAGAGAAACAAACCAAAAGCGAAAACAGGAATTATGTACAGAATAAGCATCCAATCACCTGATTCACTTAAACATATGAACTACTACATCTTGATATGCATGCACCATGACATATGAAACTTTCCTGATGCATTGTATAATTTGTATCTTAATGCAACACAGGTTATTTGTTTAACTTCACAAGATAATTTACCATAGCCACCTACCTTTGACCAACGAGAACTTGTACAAATATCTCCTTTTTCCTGAAGCATGGACCTGAAACTGGAAGCAGTAGCTGCACGCAGTGCCAGAGCCTTTTCTTCAGCAGCCCTCTTTAGAGGAAGGATCCTGCAAGTGAACCAGAATCATTGTCTAACCAGTATATTGAAGCATAAAAGCAGATGTAGCATATTCATCACATAAAACAAAATTATTTCAGAGTTGAAGCACATATCCAAAGTGTACAAAGAATCTGAATAACAAGCCTACTACTTGAATCCTATTGCCTACTGGATTACTAAAAAAATCACTTTTGTGTCAGAAGCAAGGTATAAATTTTACCTGAAATCCAAGACACAGAAAATTTTGACGCAAAGGTAAAAGCTCAACTACAGGACTTGATCAGCTTGAATTTGACCCGTTTCTTCAACAGTGAACATTGAAGTCTCAATATTTTACACAACCACCATAGACAAGGAAAGGTATATGGTATACCAAAGAAACAGGGGTTGTTCTTATTTTACTGGAGGGGTTTGAATTAGCCCCTCAAGATGGTATTTCTTCAGAGATGAAGAAAAGATAGCCATTTATCTTTTCAAAGCTATCGCCCCAATTAAAAAGATATTCAGTGTAGTCCCTACTCCTGTTCTTGGTCAAAAAGTGAAATCACCTTTCCTATTCTTTACCCCGGCTACTAAGAAAGATGTTCACTTCTTAATTAGCTTCTCGGCCTCTTACTAGGAACACACAAGTGCGATTATAAACAGCAATGGTATCAAGAACAAAAACGTAAATGAAAAATTCATAGGACAAAACCAACTCATCAAGGGATTAAATGAATCTAATATTACCAGGTCAAGCTTGTAACCAACCACTAGCAAAAAACACTCTGCAGGAAAAAGTTGACTTCATACACACATGACAAGTGATTGAACAAAAGTCAACTTACGTTTTACCCACACAAAATTTGACCTCTTTCCACAACCACCCTTGCCTGATACCCACATACTGGGAAGGGTTGGGGCACAAGAGGAAAGATGGGGGGGAAAGGAAAGGGGAAAAGAGAGCAGAGGATACGGAAACAACATAAATCCCAGTTTCAAGCCATATATTGCAATAACCTATCTCCAATCTTTTGACTCACCATGATGTAAGACGTGCCATATATCATAGGAATAAATAGACCAGACACTTCTAGTTTTCATGCTCATAGAGTTCATATTGTTTAATGAATGGTCCAAAATTAACTAACAAAAGAATCTACTTTTGACCCATTTTAACTTTCGTCTCAATTCTTAGAGCATTATCTTGTATAAAGTTGCTATCAAAGGCAAAAGTGGTGACCAAAGTGCAAGCAATCTTTCAAAAGAATTTGACCATCTAATATTTTTTCCTACTCACTTGGCCAGAAAGTTGTTCTTCAATAACTTTAAGTAAGTTGATATTGCTGTTAGCATGCAGGAATGCTAACATATCACGTACAAGTCTATACTTTAGATGGGTCACATGAGAAGCTGAAATACTAACAGATGCATTCAACCGAACACCAACACAGTAAGACAACCATGCACCTCCAGCCATATTGCTTGGGTTTCCCAGAGTCAGCCAGCTTCCCATGCATGTCTAGTAACAAAGGTGGAAAGTTAGTTATTAAGGAAGGTTCACCTGGATGGATCTCAGGAGGCAAGCAGGGATCAACCAGTCTGCAAGTTTTGGAAAATGCCTCTTATTGTAGTGTGATTGGCAATGAGTTCTCTCAAATATATAAGTTTTTCCCCAAGACTTAATTCAAAATTTAAAAAGACCCCAAACTAAGTTTCTGGATCCGTCTGGTTGTAAGCTAGGAAGTACGGATACTTCTCGGAGGGTCATGGTTGTGTCAAACACGGCCGGAAGTGTCCTGAATAGTGAATTCAATCAAATAAAAGAGGTGTGATTCCTATTTTTTTTTAATATATTTTTTTTGTTATGTAACTTATATACTATAAATGTTGATGGATGTAATGATGTTTGATAAAAATGGTGGATATTTATTTTGATCTATTGCAATTTTAATCAAAAAAATTAATATTTGCTAGGTCTTATTAATAACATTATTATAATGTATGCTTTATTTTTAATATATTATAAGTCTATTATTATCCAAAAAATATATTATATTATTTTAATAGGTATATCCTTGCCGTACCCGTGTCTTATATTTTCTAATTTTGCCATATCCACGTGTCTAATTGAATTGGATATGACACTCGTGCCCATGCCCGTAAGGAATCAAGATGATAATAAACTAGGTAAGGTAATGCGTCACAAGCAAAGCTTGTCCAGTCCCGAGCCTGCACATTGCCACTTATCTCATGCCACCTGTTTGAGTACAAATGTGGTATTGACTGCAAGCATGCTGATGGAGTAGAGGCATGTGACTTTTCAAAATGTAATATCACAAAGTTGTCAAAGTTATGCCCCTATTGGCAATAAAACTCCAAGGGTTTAATATGTAGTTTACCAGTACTATGTTTCACCTTTTTTCTCCAGACTTTACGCATACTAGTCAATTCAGGGTGATCTCTCCTGCCAGTCTTTTAAATGTCCATAATGCTATGTGCTGGAGAGTACAAAGTGAGCCATGTGTTATAGTTAAAGTTGTGGTGATATTTGAAAGCTAATACTCTATTCCTACTAATGCAGCCTAACTTGCCTTATTCCTAGAAGTGCTTTAAGTAGCACAGTACTCATCAGTATATTTGCAGGAAGGATCCAAGACAAGCACCATAATTGCCTAATGTAACATCATGTGTGATGATGCTCTGCAATACTATCAATATACCACAACATCCTAAGTGGTGCCATCCCAACTACTGAAGATGAAATGGACAGCACTGACTATTCAAAGCAAAAGTTTAGTCATTAAATGATACCTTTCATTCAGTAAAATCTCACGCTCTTTTCGATCTAAGGCCTCAAACCGTGGATCATGGCCCCATTTCTTTTGAATGTTTGATAATCAGTGCTTTGGTCAATGTCCTGAAACATAGAGAATTAATCAGACTCAGAAAGAAATCGTCAGTCTCCTCAGTTTAAAAGCCATGTACTGTACCAATGGAATTCTAACAGGATCAGATGAGAATTTGTTAAAAGACAATTCCATCAAACCTCCTTTGCTTCTTCCAGTAACTGCTTGAACTCCTCCATTGCAGCTTTCTTAGCTCCTCGTTTTTCCTTACGTTCTTCTTCCGCACGTGTCCGAACATAGTTCTCAAACAGGGCTCTCCTAGCGCTATAACCTTGAATAGCCTGCAAAACGTAACTAAATCACAGTGAGATGGGAGTGAATAGATCTTGTGAGGAATTAATCAAAATCAACAATTAAAAATTTAATAACCTGGTTCATTCAAACAACTCAAATTATAAGTCAAACATCAATCTAGTGTCTATGAAGATCAAAAAACAGTCAATCACACAAATATAAGGCGCGCGATTTTTTTATGAGGAAACTCTTGCAGAAAGAACCATGGGATCTAGTCGACCCTAACCCTCCACTATTAAAATTAACAGTCCAAACTCAAATACTTACAACCCCTTGTCACATATCATGTTCTCTTATACTCCTCTAGACAAACTCACTCTTGTCGTTCAACTCATAGATCATCAGCTCCTTCCAGTAGAGATTAGATCACGCTCCCCCGAAAAGCTATTGACTCGTCCTCCTTTGAATGTTCATCTCCTTGGATCTTTAAGACTTTCTCTAGATTTGAATGAGTTAGAGAACTTGTATCTGTAAACTTTTGGTTGACTAGGGTGTCACCCATAATTATAAAAACCCAACCAAACATCAACACAGTAGAGAGATTGGATCAATGGTTACTGGTTCAACTATTAGGTCAATTGGTGGGTTGTACAAATAAAAATAGAAAATAAAAAAATTAAATGAATATGCTAAGAAATTATAATTATTATAAAGATAACTTGATTAATATAATAGTAGATCAAATAAAAGTACAAAAAAAATCACACTTTATTAATTTTTTAGATAATTTACAAAATTTAAACTAGCATCCAAAAATTATATCAACAAGTATTGAGTAACAAACCCTAAGAAGTATACTCCAAAGTATTAAAAGATAGGAAGAAAATGCCAAAAGAAGAAAGGCAAAAGAACACCCCCCCCCCAAAAAAAAAAAAAAGACATAAGAAGACCCAAGACACTATCCCACATCAACTTCTCACAAGAAAACAAAGCAACATGTGTAGCCTATAAAAATTATGGCAGCCTTTGTAAAAGCAGTCTACATGGAGGCCTTGAAAATAGGCATTACAGCTAATTGTGCCGGCCTTGATAATAGGGACTGCGGCAGCCATGTGCTTAAGAGTAGTTATAATATTTTATTGTAATAATGAACTGGATTCATAAAAACCATCCGATTCAGCCAAGTTTAACAAAAATCATCTGGTTTAAATGGGTATTGGATGAGTGAACTGCATAGACAATCCAACTAATGAACCGACCTGGCTAAGGCACCAATTGGCCAATCTTTCAGGTTGACTCGTCGGGCCGGTCTGAATCTAATAATTATGGTATCACCAACACTAACCAAATTTTAACACTAAATATCTAGTCAAAATATTTTAACACATTTGTTGATTTTAAAATCAACGAAAAAAAGTGTGCTTCAGGTTTGATCTCTCAAAGGCTCCTATGATTTTTGATCTGAATGTTCTTTCCAAAAGATTTATTTTCTCCCTAAAGAAACGTTCTAGGGTTTCAGATTTATAGTGAAAACCTATTAAACCGAGCTTGGGAAGCTATCCTAATTCAAGCAGGCTTCTAATACGCTACAATTGCTTGAGTATGCACATTCTTGCTCAAGTGCTCCTCAGCTCGCTCAAGCACCAAGCGAGTGGCGAGAGCAAGTCATAGCAATTTATTAAATCCTATGCCAGCCTGAGCGAGAAGTGGTACCTCGAACTAGAAGCCCACACTAGGCAAGCAACAACTATTGAAAACCCATTTGAAACTTATCCAAATGACCTCAAAAAAGATTCCCAAGGTTTTGCTTGAATGCAATCTATACTTGAGCCTTATTTTACAATGAATAACCATATTTTTCATAGCTAAGTATACTTAACTCAACCCAACTCAACAAAACATCTATCACAACGTTTTTGGAGTCAACTCCATGAATCCTATACTTGACTACATGAATCATATTTTTCACAAAGTTTTCAGTTAAGCCATAAGTTATCATATGATTCTGTACTATTTCATTTAATGTTAATTTTGGTCTTCCTTTTCCCCTACATTTACCTTCAATACCTATCATATCACTCTTTCTCACCGGTGCCATAGTAAACCATCTATAAATATGTCCAACCCACCTAAGTTGATTCTCGCTTAACTTATCTCCTATATGTGTTGCCTCTATTTTTTCCAAGATATATTCGTTCCGAATTCTATCTTTCCTAATTTTATCACACATCTATCTTAATATTCTCATTTCTATCACACAACTTTTGAATATGTTGTTTCTTAGTTGCCCAACCCTCAATAACATACTGGTAATATAGTCGTTCTATAGAATTTTCCTTTTAGATTAAGGGGTATGTGCTTATCGCACAATATACCATATGCATTCCTCCATTTAGTCCATCTAGCATTAATTCTATTCATAACGTCGTTGTCAATCTCATTCTCTCTATGAATTATAGACCCTAAATATTTGAAGTGTGTCACCTTTAATATCTCTTGGTCTACAATTTTTCCTACTTTCTAGTTTCGATTTCTTCTTTTGCTAAAGTGACATTCCATATACTCAATTTTAGTCCTACTTATCCTAAATCTTTTTGATTTTAAGGTTTCTCGTCATATTTCTAGTTTATTATTAATTCCTTCCTTACTTTTATCAACTAGTACAATATCGTCCACAAATAACACACACCATGGGAGCTCATCCTGCATGTGCCTAGTCAATTCATCCATAATAAATGCAAAAGATATGGACTTAAAGCAGAACATTGATGCACACTGACATAATTCGAGATTCCTTAATCTCACCCACCGTTGTTCTCACTAAAATCATTTCATCTTCATACATATCCTTAGTAACATTAATATACCTAACAGTAATATTTTTCTTCTCCAAGACCCTCCATAAGTCTATAAAAACCACATAAAGGTCTTTTTTCCCCCTTATACCTCTCCATTAGTCTTCTAAATAAATATATACCCTCCATTGTTGATCCAATTGATTCTCAGAAACCGTTGTTTGCAACCTTAATCTTTGTTCGGTCACCCTCTCCAAAAGTTTTATTATATGACCCATTAATTTAATACCTCGATAGTTTATGCAACTTTGTATGTCTCCCTTATTCTTGTATATAGGTACTTAAATACTTACACTCATCAAGCATTTTCTTGGTCATTATAATTTTATTAAATAATTTAGTTAATCATGTGAGATGGATCGTATAGGAATTAGATAGATATTTTAGATTAATTATGACAGCAATTTAGTGTTTATCTTTTAAGTATTTTCTTTTAACTCATTATGACTATTTATTTCTTTTAGAGTTCTTTTAAAATTTGTGCTTTCCCTATATATATAGGGAATATGGTATTTATTTTGGTAGACTTTTGATTATTGATTATTGATTATTGATATTGAATCTTCTTCTTAAAATTCTCTCTCTATTCTCATCATGCTCTTCTTCTTTTCTCATCTCTTTCTTCTTCCCTTCTCATCCCTAATTCTTCTCTAATACGATCTACATCAATTTGGTATCAGAGCTGAACTTTGATTCGTACAAATCTCAAAAAAAAAACAAAAAAAAAAATTGTTCATTCGTACATTGTTCATCGAAAATATTGTTCGTCACCATAAAAAAAAAACAAAATTCACCACAAGTTTCAGAATTACAGAAACATCACCCCAAAAATTGCAGAAGTTGCAGAAATTATAGAATCTTTCCCCCAAAAGTTTTAAAATTGCAGAAACATCCCCAACAGATTCATAAAATTGTAGAACCATCCTAAAAAATTTCAGAATTTTCTCTTGATTATGGTATGCATACTCCTATAGAATTTGAGACTAATATTTTTATTCATTGAAAAATTAAAAAATTTGCAAAGGATCCAAGACATAATTTCTTCTATTTAAGTTTTTTTACTTATTGTAATTATCAATTGCATTCTTGAACTCATTCTTATATTATTCTCATCTTTCAAAGTCAATTATGAGTTCATATGATCATTATGATGCCTATTCATATACTTATCTAACATCAAGAATGTCTCAAGTTTATAGTTCTCCACAACGTCATCATTATACCTATTTCACTCCTAGAGTTTCTCGAAGTCATCATAAAGTCCACAGTAAGTCTGAGTTTTATTATGAACATTATGTAGAATACTATTCTGGGACACTTAGGTCACATAACAGTTATAAACGTCATGCTTTCCAAAGTCATCATCAAGGTCAATTTGGATCAATTTTCAATGTCATTAGTGACCATTCAAAAGCCCAAACTACTCTAGAAAAAAAAGTTGAGATCTTTGAAATTAAAGTTGTCAATACTAAATATTCACTCGGTCAATTACGTGAAGAATGTAGAGAGATGAAAAATCAATTATCTAAATTAACAAGTCAACTTTCTCACTTGAATAAAATTTTTGCAAGTCAGCAAATAGAAGAAAATAAGGACAAATCTCCAGTTTCACCTAATGTCGAACACTCGCATAATGATAGACATTATTCTGTTCCATTGGACCCTCATTTTCCATCCTTCCAAACATACTTTTAATCGTTTGAACATTGATACTAGTGATGAGATTATTTTTGATCCTATCATGTTTCCCACCTCATCGGAGTCAAAAGTTGAATCATCACTAATCATTGAAATTGAGGAAAAATCCATTCAGTTGGTTCCTATGCAAAAAGTTGAACATATTGAGCTATCTATTTTAAAATCTGTTGACAATTATTCTATGTCTACTATTCTGAATCATGATGACATCATTGTAGATTCTTCTCCACCTGAGATTGTTGACATTATTCTAGATTCTGCCCCACTTGAGAGTGTAAACTTTGTTTCTTTGTCTTCTGTCAAGCGTTCAATTGAGTCTTTGCTTTCTTATTTTCAATACTAGGGTGTTATAATTACTCCTTTGTCATTAATGTCTCATCCTATGAATGCCTTTTGTTCAAATCTAACGGGAGTTGTTTGGCTATTCGTGAGTTTGGATCTAATGCTTATTTGCTTAATTTTTCATTGAATGTTAGTATTAGTCCAGATTTTTATTTGGAGGACATGTTACTTAATCTAGGTACTCCGAAGCCTCCTATTTTGTAATCAGGTGTTTCAACAGGTGAAATTACTTCTTCCTCAGTATTAGTT